GATAACCTCTGCCCCGTCAGAGAGGAGAGACACTGACTCACAGATAACATCACAGTCATGTGTACATGCACAAAAGGAATGACACAGTCACAGTAGAGCATCACGGCACGGTGATCTGCTACGACCTAAAGAAAATCTACCAAAAACATGAGCACTCTTTGAAGGTTTCTTATCATAAAACCTGATATCAAATGATCTCTGAGCAAATAGATCCCTAGTTTATGCAGATAAATAAAACTCTAAATTGCTTTATGAGAAAGAAAGAAGCTACTTAAATGCCAATTTGGTTGTCTTCAGAGTGTCCGCGGGGTCTTAAAAAGTATTAAAAGTTGATAAATCAATTTAGCGAAAATGAAGGCTATTAAAAAGTATTAAAGGGCATTTTCCAAGGTATTACATTTGGTAGCTTGTTTTCAACAAGTATATAAATTGTCCAAAGAGGTTGTATTCTACACTCTGCCTGAATGTAATCATTGCGTAGGTGTGTAGTGTGATTCTGTGTAGTTTATGTATGGCATCCCGTTGGGTTTGACGTCATCTGAACAGGACGTCGCACGCTCACTGCTTGATAGCGCGCGCAGGTCCGTTTACGCCGGTTGTTAAACAACATCGTTATGGGGAAATGCAAGTCTGCGTCCAAATGGTTGGAAGATAAGGAGGAAGGACAATCAATACTGTATATAGTAAATGTGAGGTAAAGTGTGTCGCCAAGGTAACCGGTTAAAACTCCAAGTGGCGATGAGGTCTTAAAATGTATGGAAAGGGTCTTAAAAAAGGTCTTAAAAGATATTACATCTGACTTCAGGATCCCTGCATATACCCTTGTCTTACTCACCACAGACTGTAAAGTGGACAAACCCTTTAGCATTTGTGCTGCATACTCTTCCAACTTGTGACATTTAATTTATTTATCTATTGAGTTGGAATTCATTTAATATTAGTTGCTTTTGACTTTAGTGTCTGCCAAGTCTAAGAGGCCTTGGAGTAAGCTATTGTGATGTTACAATGTCTACATGAGATCCCCAGTATTAGTTTATAGTCTGTCAAAAAATAAAATGAAAAAAGTCATGGTATCATATGTCATGAAATTCTTTTTTTAATGTTTGTCCAAAATAAAAAATAAAACATAGTATAGCATTGTGGAAAAATATGAAAAAACGAATTATTTTTGATATAAAGTTGTTTCATTTAAAGGCTTTCTAGAAGTGTAAAACAGTCATTGTGCTTATTCTTGACCAAATCCTTCACTTGACTTGTAGTTTTAAAGTTGTAAAATGAAAACATGGAGAGCACTTTAGCTACCTGTCAATCAAAAGGTCAGCCACTTCCTAAAGAGTAACCTAGTTTTACTCTAAAAGATTTACAAAATGAACATCATGATGTTGAAGTATGAAAGCATCACTTGAGACCACAGGGAAATGAAAACTGAGGTAATAAATCAAGTGAAAAGTAGGCTCATTTTCTCACACTTCTAAACAAATGCACTGGGTGATGTAACCCTCTGCTGGAAATGTAAAAGAATGCATGTTTATGGCACATAGGCATCGGCTTCACTCTTCAGACACAGAGGATGCCGCTTGGTGGGAGGAGGATGGAGGTTAGTTAGTGTAGTTAATAATGGAGACTCTCTGACAGTGAATCCGATCACATAAATTATTCATTCCCTCATTTCCGATGCTGTCCTCTTCACACACACGGCCATCGTATCTGAAGGAACCAGCCCACCGTGCATGCTGGGACATGGTGGCTGATTTAGTGTCCTGCTGGCAGGGATGAGTTATTCCTCAGTTAGCTTCAGTGACAGTGGGAGCAGAGAGAGCTGGACCTCCAGAGAGACTTTCACACTGGCAGTAATTCAACCAGAGAGAGAGGCCCAGGCATGCTGAGCGCACGCTGCCTGCTATTCACACACACGCTCCGCTAATTACAGCCAAACACCACATATCCAATCCAATCCAACTTTATTTATATAGCACATTTAAACACAACAGAGTTGGCCAAAGTGCTGTACATCAATACATATATAAAAAAGCAGCACAAATACATTTAGACAAAACCGATAGGACAAAAAGAAACTAATGTAAAAGCACGAGACAATAAAACCATACTTTAGCCACAGACTGAAAATACCCATACAGGATGTAAAAACATTTTAAAACACATTAAATAGAAAACCCCAATTTAGAAAACACAGACTGATACGTCTTTTACGTGGTCTGCAAAAGCACGGGAGAACAAGAAGGTCTTTAAACGAGATTTAAAAACAGGCAAAGTGGGAGCAAGTCTGATCAGGGGGGGGCAGTTTCTCTTCTAACAAAACTATGCACACATATATGTTCTAGTTCATTCAGTTTAACATGCAGTTAGTTCAGGAAGCTGCAGGCGGTCCTCTTGATAGAAAAGCTAGATCAAATACAAAATGCTTCATTCACTTAATTGTTGATTACTTAATGCTAGCTAGCATGCTAACACACTAAACATATATGGTAAACATGTCCTGCTTAGCATTAGCATGCTACTGCTGCTGTCATGGTGAGCATGTTAGCATACTGATGTTAGCATTTCGCTTAAACCAACACTTAACAGCCTCACAGAGCAGACTCTTAACATAATGTAAACTGTAATGTAAACTGATTTGCCAGGTATGTTCGATTAAAAGAAACCAAAAATGGACATCTCTGTTTGTTTCTTGTATCTAGAAACACATATAGTACCAGGAGTCAAATTACTTCATAACAACACTAATTAAAATATGACAATGTTAATATAAAGAAGATTGTAATAATAGCCACACAAGTTGTATCATTCAGTAGCTAATGATGTATACCAATCAATAGGTATAATTAAAGGATAAGTGTGCTATAAGACCAACAAAGTGTAAGAGCAGTGTGGATTGAGTCATACAGTAGTAAACTACCCTGTCTGTGTCATCTAGTGCAATGGAGTGGCTCACTCATGTGTTTTTTAATAGTTTTTGGACTCTTTTAATGCGAATATCAGAGGTTTCCCCTGGGCAAAACCAACGCTTTCTCCAGAAGGCTGTGCCATTAGTGTGTGCATGTGTGTGTGTACACCATAGACTGTATAAATAAATGAATTAACCTTTAGCTCAGATAATGAGCAGTTTGGCACCTTGTATGTAACCACCACTGACTTCGCCCCAAGCTCCAGTGAACACGCTCACCACCAATAAGGAGAGAAAATCACCACATAATAAATAAAACACACGGAGCCCTTACACGTGGCTCCTGCAGCGCCTAATAAATCCATTTTCCTTTCATTTCATTTGTCGAGTATCTACGTATCTTCCACACCCTGAACTCATTGACTTTTGTGTCTGAGAACCATTCATTTATAAGACAGCAAACAAAAGAGATTTTAGAGATTCCGCCTGTGCTAGTTGTTATAACGGTAAGCCTCCTGTCACTTGCATCCGAGCATGTGAGGAATAGAGATTCATCCATTACTGCAAAGCTGCAAGAGACGCGGCCTGTTCGTGCCTCGGCACCAGGCAGTGTTGGAGTCTGAAGATGATTTGGGTTTTATTATTCTCCTAATGCATCAGGGATGAGCCCTCTGAATCCCTGTTTCATAATCGCAGTCATAATCACAGCCGTGGCCCTGCGCTGCCGACTGTGATGTAGACAGAGTAAGAGATACGGATGACGGGCGTTTTGGTCGACATGCTATTTGTACTCATTACACAGAGAGTGAAGCGTCCTGCTCTCCGGCTCCTGGTTAATCTGCAGCGTCTGATTAGTCAGAGCCCAGCAGTCATCTTCATTTCTGTCCCCTCAGCTCTCCCTTAGCGTCACACTCATTTCCTCCCCTCCTTCACATCTTTTCACCAACTTACTTTCTCCTTTTTTTCTTTTGCGCCTGTCTGTCTCTCTGTATCTGTCTCTCTATCTCGAGTTTTAATAGCCTGACAAGCAGGGCACTAATCCCTTTTATTACTGTACTTGCTGCTCAGAAAGAAAGCCTGAGGGGGGGGGGCAGACAGGGAGCCATTTATATGAAATGAATGTGATTATTCTTCAGAGGCAGTGTCTCCGTGTCCAGAGCTGTGCTTGTCCAATGGAGGATGACCTCGGACAAATCTCTGTCACATGAATAAAGTCTGTGCATAACATCTGAACTGTAGATTATAAAATAAGTTTAAGAGTTGAGCTGCATTATCAGGCCAAGTTTGAAAAGGTTCGGTTTTGTTTTGGGGTTTTTTCCTTTCCTGTAGAGAGTTGCAGTATATCGGTTTTTGTGCATGTCAATGGTCTGCAAAGGCTAAAATCCCGGTGTTTCCTCCAGAGGGAGTTTCAAATCAAGTTGTATTTTGCAAAAAATGTAATTTAATTAGTTTCTACAAAAAAGTCTCCAGGTAAAAGTGTATTGCGTACAGCATTACAGGAGCTAAAGGACAGTGCGAGGAAAAGCAAAAGTAAAAAGTTCACTTAGATATTAAAAATAGAGGCAAGCACGCGCACAAAAAAGAACACATTCATTGTAATAAAAAACGTGCTGCGTTTTCAAAAAGTATACGTAAGCGTGTAAAACGTATTGAAGGAGCCAGAAACATTAACACATTGTAAATACATTCCCTGCAAGGTAACATTTAAAACAATAGCAAGTCTGGAAGAGTAGTTCTGTCTATCTAAACTGAAAGATGAACTTTATTACACAATAAAAGTAAACTGAAGTGTGAATTGATTTGAGGTTACTTGGCTAAAACTTGCTGTGTAAGTCTATCAGTCTTTGAATGTAATATCAGAGGTTTTAGATACTAACAGTTCCTGAATGCAACACATGGACGTTTGTGTACTAATACCTCATGTCTCACAGTGATATCCTCTCTTCCTCTCCTCAGGCTCCAGGTCTTGCTTCCTGCTGTCAGAGAGTCTGAGGGCCGCTCGCTCAGCCCACAGCCATGCCTGACGTGAAGCCCCCCCCCACCATGTGACTACCCCTCCTCCTCCTCCGCCTCCCCCTTCGACCTCCTTATCGACATGGAGCCCTGCATAGCCAACCTCCCCCTCTCCCCCGACCCCTTGTCCTCCTCCTTCCCCCGACACAGACCCAGCTTCCCTCACTACCCGGGCCTCCCGCCCTACCCTCTCATGGCCCGGTGCAACAGCAGCACCCTGCTCACAAACCTGGGACTGAGGTACTGCAGACAGGGCCCCATGGGGGGGGGGGGGGTCCGGGTCAGGGGGGGGGTCCGGGCTCCTGCAGCTACACCGCAGGCAACAGGCCTTACAGGAGCATGGAGAACCTGAACTGGAACAATGTGGCCGATTCTGGGCTGTGTGCATTCAGCGCCGCGCCCTACAGGAGCATGGACAGTGAGTTTATTCTACGCTACACCTCCACCAGCCACTGGTATGATGGGCCCCCGGATGGTTCTGTACTGGGGGCCCATGGGCTGGGACCAAACCAAGAGGGCCTGGCGTTTTACCCTCGACACGGGCTGCCTAGGAAGGACTTACCGCTTTTTCCTCAGCTGCTGTTTCCAGGTGGCGTCGACGAATGGGATGCGAGGAAAGGCCTGAGGGAGAAGCTCCGCCTCCAGAGTGCGAGATCATCGATGGAGCCTATGAAGCCTCTCCCGATGCGACCTCAGGAGGCTCATGTGAATTCAACGCTCTCTGGGTGCAGGCCTCCGTGCACGATGCGCATCACAAGCCCCGAGGATATCAAGCAGGAAGTCCTGAGGCGCCTACAGCTCCGCAGGCAGAACAGCAGCCCTAACCTGGCTCCCCACAGCGCCCCCTGCAGCCCAAAAGCTGTTAAGACGTCCTACACAACAGACAACATTACAGGTGGTGGATCAGACTCAGAGCGACGGAGACCTCCTGCGGGACGGCTGCACATCCCCACGTTCGAGGAGTTTAAGAGCATGAGGCAGAAAGAGACTACAGCGGGTTCTGTGGTTTCTGGAAACTCTGGATTAAAACAAGAAGCAGGAGTTTCAGAGACTAAGAGTAGTGTCTCTGAGTTGAGCTTCAGTGGAGGAAGTAGAGAGCAGGAGGTGGGGGGAGTAATGAAACCTCCCTGTAGCACTGCAGCTCCCATCTCTACATGTACCTCCAGAACTTACTCTCCCATCCGCACAGGCCCGTCTCCACGTTCCCCCCTGCAGCCGCTGGCCAGCTCCACCCAGGAGAGAGGCTCCTCTGCTGGGGGAGAGGATGGGGGCGGCAGGCGGAGGAGGAGCAGTTTGGAGCCAGCCGGGTCGGTACCTTTCCCGCCCTACAGGGAACATTTTGACCGGCCCTCCAGCTGCTGCCCGGCTCTTCTGGACGGGACGGACCTGTCCAGCTACGGAGCGAAGATCTACAAGATGAAGGACGGACTGATCGGATCTGCGCTGGACCTCATCAAGAAGAGGTTAGTCTGAGAGGTTTCACTGTCAGAAGTATTCAGATTCTTTACTTTCCAAAAATACAATAATTGTGTCACCACATTTTGGAGCAAAATATTGTACTTATAGTTATACTTTTATACCACACTCAGGTTATGACGAATATATAAAATACTATGCATTGTATAACCTAAACCTTCCAACCTACAAATGAATAGGATGTTGTATTTTCTTGTATTTCCTTGATTGATCAAATAATCTTTCGGTCTAGTTTCTCAAAGTCCAAGGTGATCTTGTTAAATGTCTGTTTTTAAAACCAAACCGAAAAACATATTTAAACAAAGCAAATCTCCCTATTCGATGACAACAGAACATTTACCAATATGCATTAGAGCTGCAAAGATTCACCTATAAATGATGTGAATATTTTATGATTTGTTCACTCCTACATTCAATATCTTTAAAGTGGACCTATCATGCTATATTTAAATGATATATTGTAGGGCCATACCTATATAAGGTATATTTATACGTTTCTGTTTTCAAAATACCAAACAGATCATGCATTTTAGCCATGCCTCATTTCGCTCAATTTGCACTTTTTTAGCTCTGTTTTTGCAAGGGCTGATTCTGTGAGAACAGCACCATCTACAGGCCTGGCATATGTACTACAGCGTCTCCAGCGCTTTCGAACGGCAATGGCCGTGGCTGTCTCCTCCTGATTGGTGGAGTTGGCCCAATAGCCGTAGCGCCACCGTCCTGACGTCAGGACAGTGTTCAAATCTGGATCAGTTTTTATCAGATCCGTTGCAGCCCCTTTTTTAGAGATTTGGGTATGGAGGAAAATAGAGAGGGTTGTGTTTTCTGACACTTGGTGAGTTCTCTGGAACACCGGGGACACATATTCATGTATAAAAGACGTACTAAAGTGCATTTTGCATGATAGGTCCCCTTTAAGTTGTGGACAAAACAAGTCATTTGAGGATCTTATTTTGGGCTTTGACAAACAACTTTTCACAATATTCTGACACTTTATAGACCAATCTACTACTAGGTAAATCGAGAAAAATAATCAACAGATTAATAGACAAAATATTGACATGAAAAACTGTATATGAAATATCTATCACTCTCCAACTGCTTATTGGGTCGCGGAGGAAGCCGTTTCAGCAGATATGTTTTGCTCTTGAATTCTCTTTAATGGTAACATTATATCTTAACAACATCCACATGTGTGCTTAGCCTTGCCAGACAGTTGCTCCGGTGTGTACGAGTCCATCTGTGGTATGTGTTGTTGTGTTATCGATTTATCTCAGTTATTGTGCTAACAGCTGTCCGAGCTAACAGGGAGACAGGACTGTGGGCGGGAGGCTGGCATGAATCATGACAGACTGGAGGACTGGCACCGTCCCTAGAGACTCCATGTTTTCCTCTCTCTCACACACACACACACACACACACACACACACACACACACACACACACACACACACACACACACACACACACACACACACACACACACACACACACACACACACACACACTGTCAGCTGTTGGCTAAATAAATGCAGCCACTGTAGTTCATTCAGACCAAGGACAAACAAGAGGACGGTGTGTTTCACAGCGTCGTGGTGCCATTCGGGTCCAAGCCTCCATGCAAAAATAAATATTAGACCCTTAACACAGTGGAGCTGCTTGATAAGGCCTTTTGAATAAAACACCCCCATGTGATGGATGGGAGGTAGAGACGGTATCTCGCTCTGACTGTCCCTCCTTTGTCTGCAGAAAGATGATGGATGTCTGAATCTCCACTGCAGGAAAATAACTGCTGTGTCTTTGTGTGTGACTTCAGTGTGTGAATGTGCAGAGCTGCAGGGTTTTGGCTGCAGCTCTGATAGTGAAACATGTCCAATGTAATGTCTTCAAATTGCTGTTTCTATCGACACTATAACAACAATACGAGTCTGTAGGCAGCCATGATAGAGGATCTGTGAGGCTGTATGGGCACAGTGGTGATTTGAGCTAACACCAGCATGCTAACACTTGTATAATGATATGCGTACATGCTGATTAGGGCTTTAAACACCAAGATACATCACAATGCAATAGTCTGATGGTTATAAGGACAGCAATACAATATTTGAAGATATTGAAAATACAGCCATAATATGTTTCATTTAGATTTTAGGCCTGCGTTTGATATGAGACACTATGATACAAACTTAATTAGGTGTATATCAACTCACAAAAAGGAATTAACATATGATTAGAAATGTTATAACTGGGATCTTCCGCCTATTAAATGAAAAAATATCTACTATTTTTTACATTAAGAATAAAAACAGCCTGCTTTTCACAATAAAGAGTCACATTTCTTATGTTTAAATGCAAAGATGATATCAATCCAAGTCTTAACTTTACGAGTATACATACTAATCAAGCTCTATGGATAGTTGCCCAACTACTAAACCCAGTAGTAGTAATACACCAGAATACATTGAATTCCATCCCTAAAAAAACTCAAATATGTTTGGGATGATTAAAAACTGAGAAAAGTAGCAAATTCTCCCATTTAAAGAAGCTCGAATCAGAGTGTGTTTTGCATCTTACTTGATTAATTACTTTAACTATTAATTGATTACCAAAATGGTTGACTACTTGTCGCCCTTTCGATTGTTAAACAAATGATTTCAGCGCTCCTGCAGCCCTCTCATCGACCTCAGTGACAGCCACAGCAACTCACGTTCAACTCTGTTTATCCCGAGTGAATTCATCTTTTTTTACGTTCAAAAAGCACCCACAATGCAACACACTATTCACCTCCCCTTATGATTTAAACGTGACTTGGGGCTCTGTGAATACTTTATTTATTACTTGGAGATGTATTAATTACACATGCCTGTATTCTGTGTGATCTTTGCACCCTGAGGTGTTTGACTTCCACCAACAAGTCTCTTTGTTTAACATAGAACCAAACCTGCACACATAGCATAACACAGCTCTAGTTATTATTAAGTAATATTCATAATTACACCTGGGAGGCTTTTATAGAAAAGGAGGAACTAAACCAGCTCTGATTTAATTGCATACTGCAGTGACTGTGCACCAGTTATATATAGTGTGTGTAGGCAGTGTCCATTCACTGTTTCTTTTTGTCTCTATTAGACGCATAAATATATGAAATTGAATTGATATGCATCAGTGAAAATGACAGGCGGGCTTATTTGGATGTCTCATAGCGCCATGTTGAGCGGTGATCTATCACATCCAGTGGTTTCCTGATAAATGAAACTGCAGGTTATTACTTCCCATGCATCACGTTGAGTGTGACAGCTGATACTGTGAAGGAAAGGCCTTTTAATGACAGTCTGTCAGAGGGAAAACCCACCGGACGCTTTAGAGCTGCGTACTCAGAAATGCATTAATTACGTCTGCCTTTTTGCCACACTGGCACCGGTTTAATTAGGACAGTTGGACACGTTTTAATCTCTGCTGAGTGTGCTTTGATTGCATATGCAGCAGCGGGCAGAGGCTAGGATCTGCTGTAACTTAATGTGCCAGAGTGCATCAGAGGGACGTTGTCAGGGTGAGTGAAGCAGGCAGGACCCAAATGCAGAAACAAATACGAGGTTTAAACGAAAATACCTTTATTTCAAGGCTAACAACCGACACATACAGAGCAGAACTCTCTCCCCAGTGACCACATTCAAGTTGGACAAGGATCTCACAAAGACTAACAGAAAAAGCAGAACCTAAATGCACACAGGACTAATCAAACAAGACACAGGTGAGGAGAAAACACAGGGGCACAAGGTGAACACAATCGGGTAATCAGACAGGAGGGAACAGACAAGACGAGGCGTGAACACTTTTCAAACTAAAACAGGAAACCAAAGACAGATCTTGACAGGACAAAATCAAACACAGACAGATCGTGACAGACGTTGAGAACATATTTTTATGACGTGTCTAAAAAGTGTGGACAGCGTTTAGAAAATGATGTAAGGACCATTTCTGTAATGAGGCCTCATGTTACGTCACCACAGGGATATTCAAATAATACATAACAGGCCCAAGTGCATATCATAGCAGAGGTTAAACCTAGTGCAGGAACCATTCATTGATGAGGGGATTATCAGTATTTAGTACAGTATTAAGGCGAGCAGATATTCAAACTGCAATTTAATATCATTTGGTTGTCATTCGTTTTGACAAAACAAGCAATGATGGCAACTTTTCAAAGAATCAAGGATCATTTCTTGATATTCTGCAACACAGGGTTGCACAGCTAAATGCAGTTTTGGCCTCGTCCATATCTTCTATCAATCAATCAATGTTTATTCATATAGCCCAATATCACAAATGTTACATTTGTCTCAGTGGACTTCACAGTTTGTACAGAATATCAGTATGACAATACGACACCCTCTGTCCTTAGACCCTCACATCGTACAAGGAAAAACTTCCAGAGAAAAACCCCACAGTTTAAAGGAGAACATGGGAGAAACCTCACGGAGAGCAACAGAGGAGGGATCCCATCTCCCAGGACGGACAGACGTGCAATAGATGCAGTGTGTAAATTGAAAAGATAATACATTTACAACATAGGTAGACCAAATGTTTGGAAATGCATGTGTCTATAATAAGAAGATGAATCCACGAGGATGTCAACAATCCTGTGGGAGCCATCAGGGAAGTAGTATGATGAGAGTCAGGCAGGACCGCAGAGACAGGTTCAGCCACGACTCGAAGTCCAGGACTCAAATCAGGACTCAGGATAGAGGATCCAGGACTCAGGATCCAGGACTCATGACTCAGGATCCAGGACTCAGGATCCAGGACTCAGGATCCAGGACACATGACTCAGGATCCAGGACTCAGGATCCAGGACTCAGGATCCAGGACTCAGGATCCAGGACTCAGGATCCAGGACTCAGGATCCAGGACTCAGGATCCAGGACACATGACTCAGGATCCCGGCGTAGATAGACACCAAAAATAAATGTGGGGGAAGCTGGGTTATTGGGAACATGAGAGTACGCAGGTACAGACAGACAGAGAGAAGAAGTAAGGTGTCCCCTGACAGTCTAAGCCTATAGCAGCTTCTACACAAAAAAAGAATTACAAAACACAACAGATCATGAACAGGAATGCAATACTTGAGGTAGTGCCTTTTTGAAATATGCATCAGAAGGAATGTAGGAGCGACAAACACTCATTTCATTGACTAGAAGTCGAAGTCAGATTGGTCAATAATGGAAATAATAATAGTGGATGTCGTGATATACCACTATGGACATTAAACGTGATATTTAAAAAATGAAATATTAATATCGTGCTAACAACTTGTATGTTTTTATCTTGTATAAAGCGCCTCTTACATTGTTGTTTCTTCACTTTGTTTCCATCCCTCAACCAAGTTTAGAAATGTTTGCATGATAACTGTTAAACCAAGATATATATATAAACAATAATATTCCTGTTACATTTGTAATCATTTCATCTTTGTCCATTGTGCGACATAAAAGAGGCTAAAAGGGTGACTCATGTCCTGTTCCTCACAGCAAGCACCCTCTTTCACACCGCATGAGGTCATATTGATTATCTGAGCTTTAAAATAATGCACACAGCTATACATCTTGTGTTCATACATTATTAACAACAGGAAGCAGCAACTATATTGATTTCGCTTTTCACACACTGACGAACTTCACAGTGCAGCGGGCACGAGTGTGAAATATAACACCACAGCAAGAAAAAAAAAACCCTAGTAACAGCAGTTTTATAAGATTATAATATACTTATATAAATGTATTTACTCCAATTGATAGGGGTTTCTATTGTTCTATTGGCTCAGCATGTGTAATAGGCCCAGGGGTCAAAGCACTTAACAAAGGATCAACAATGTCTGGCTCTGAGAGAAAGAAAAGATGTGTATTGATAAATATATAAGTGGTGTCACAAGAAAGAGGGGGAAGGGGAGTCTCAGGGGTTAACCGTGTCATGGGCGTGATCCAACAGCAGCTACACACACATTTGAGCTTTGCTGATATTGGCTCCTGAGCTTGAATGTCATGTTGCGTTTAACCTCCTTATTTCTCTTCTCACGTTTTCTGTCATGTGCAAAGACCAAGGTGTTCTAATCAGCTGTCACTTCGGATGCTGTTTACATGTACTCTGCTGTATCCCCATCTCTTAAAGAGGGGGAGACGGCAAAGACTGAAATCCCTAAGTTTCCTCCAGAGGGAGTTTCTCTCTCTCAAGGTTCAAGGTTCAAGGTTCTTTATTGTCAATCTGACATAGCTACAGAGTAATTATGTAGTTGAAAATCTTATGTCACAGGCTTCTCCAACAATGCAACATAATAACATAATAACAATAAGAGCAAGAGCAATACAAAAAGAAAAATAGTTATAAAATAAAGTGATGATGTGGAATAGTGCAGTACAAGTCTCACACTGAGTGAGAAGAGGTGCTGCAGCTCAGGCAGTACGAGACAAATAAAGAGCTTTTTGCATGGAGACATGTCACAGGAGAGAAACTAAATACTATGATGAACAAAATATGGCCTCTGTACACACTTGTTTATGTTAAGACTGTAAGTAGGAGGTTTCACTGACCATCTGCTCAAATCCAGAGGAGAGATTTCAATACAAATGTGAAGGTAGTGTTCAAGTATTACTATATATTTGCCGTAATTAAGCTTTACACACGAGTATGGAGACCAAACCATAACTTGAAGAAGATTGGATATTGGACTTACATTACACACTTGATCTGTTGTAAAGAAGAACGACTCCATGACTGATCGTGGTGCTTTGTGTCTGCTGGACGTTCACCATTACGACTTTATAAGGCATTATTATGCAACACGTTGTGGTGTTAATCTGCTCATAATCTGGCAGAAATCATTAATCGGCTTGAAGTATGATGTTCAGACTGGTCTGCCTCGACTTTGTCATGTGTTGTGTGCCTCTGATTGACAGTCAGTAGAGATGGGACAGGAAGTGAGGCCGTAGAGAGAGAGAGATAAGAAGTGACTTGCATCGAGCTTCATGGTCAGCTTTTTACTCCACTTGCATAGACCTCCATCTTTGCTGTGTGTGTTTGTTATGTGATCTTACAAATGCATGCAAACGTTCCTGCAGGCATGCATTTGTGGTCTGTGCTCATGTGTGTGTGTTCATGTGTGTGTGTGTGTGTGTGTGTGTGTGTGCATTTCAGAGCAGCAGTACAGTGTGTATTAGTGCTTTTGTGTGGAGTCTCAGATCACATGCTGGCTGCAAGAATGGATCCACAGTAATCAGACAAAGGACTGAAGGCAAAGTATTGTGTGTGTGTGTGTGTGTGTGTGTGTGTGTGTGTGTGTGTGTGTGTGTGTGTGTGTGTGTGTGTGTGTGGGTGTGTGGGTGTGGGGGTGGGGGTGGGGGTGGGGGTGGGGGTGGGGGTGGGTGGGTGTGGGTGTGGGTGCAGGCAGTGTCCCTTTGGTCCGGGGGTTCAGGTGTTAATGTCCGCTGATGTGTCTAATTGCTCCTGAGGAGGGCTGGAGGATTTGGGGAGGGTAGGGAGGGAGGCGAGGCATTGATTTGGGTGTTTAGTGGGTAGAAAGATGATGGAAGAGGAAGAGGAGGAGGAGGAGGAGGGTGGGTGGAGAGGATAGAGGAAGACACAGCAGGAAGCAGAGTGGCTTCAGAGAGAGAGAATGAGGAGGCATGAATGACAGTGAAGCTGTAAGAAGACGAGAGCTTTACAGAATCACAATTCCTCCCTCTTTGACTTCCTCTCTCCCACATCCTGCTTCCATCCTCCTCTCCCCCTTTTTTTCTTTCTCCCATTCTTGCCTCCTCATCCTTCCCCTTCACACACACCCCCCCCCCCCCCCCTCCATCCATCCCTCTGTAACGCCGTCTCCTCTTCCCTCTCTCCTCCTCCAGCTGCAGTGCAGAGATCTCCGCCGAGGCCCCCGTCAGGCTGTCAGGTGACCGGGACGGAGGCTGTGACATCACCGCCCCCCCGTCCGACTGTCATCCCTCCGCGGTTGCCATGGCAACGTCGGCGACGGCCCGCGGAGCCGAGCCTGGCGACGAGACGCCTGCAGGAGGAGGAGGAGGAGGAAGAGGAAGAGAGGAAGCAGGAGAATGCGTAAGTGTTCTTTCCCATTTTGATATTTCCTTGCCTCTTTTAAATGTGTTTTCCGTGCATGTCTTTGCTCGCCGCTACCTTTATGCAGAAACACACAGATCTCTTGGTATTCAAGGAGGACTGGGACAAGCGAGGGGACTGCGACACACACGTGCACGCTGCTCACACACACTGATGCAGAGGTATTTGTGGAGACAGGAGCGAGGTTGCAGCGCTGCGTCTTCCTGCAACAGCTCGACGTCTGAGGGTGCAGAGAGAGAGAGGATTATTCCTTCTCGTCCTCTCTGCAGCTTCACAGCAGCTGCAGCTAGCTCTCCTCTGTGTGTCTGCAGAGCCGCGCCGACATGGAGTCGCATCTCGCTGTTTAGAGAACAGATGCCGAGGTGCGTTCGCTTCTTGCCTTTTTCAATGTTTCGGGCTTTTGAAATGCACAATGGAGCCTGCCTCTGCATCCCCAAAAGCAATGGCTGCCATTTCATAATTCGGAGCAACATGAATTATTCTCCTTCATTTTTACCTGATTGCTGCAAGCTGTAAATCATGTTGCTCTCTGTGTGAGAGCGAGAAAAGCTTCCAGCGTCTTCCAGTCACGTTTCGCTGTTAGTAATCAGAGAACTATCAATATGTTGTGGGGGGGGTTCTTTGATGTTAAGCCAATATGGTCAGATGCATTGGATTTGGGTTATGCCTCTGGGGTGAGGAAGCACGTGTCATAGAGATGACCTTTGAACTTTTAATCTTAGGTCGAATCTCAGGGGCTTGATGGTCCCTCAAAGGATTTTAAAAGACATGTGAGGGGTGTGTGTCCGTGCAAAATGCTGCAGTGTGTCGGGGAATTCCTCGCTTCACCTAAAGAAGGATTTGTTGCTGTCTCATCTTCAAGGCCGCGTAGTTTCTAGTTGTGATAAGAGCAGATTTCTAGTTGTGTGGACGTGTTGTGTTTAAAAACTTGGCAGACGATCAGCGCTGCATCTCGGCTTGAAATTTGGATTCCCGTCAGATAAGCTGGGATCAGAGCGGTAACCAAAAAACGTGTTATGTAATGTGTCATGACTGTGAATGCACAAGCTGTGATTTCTCTCTCCCCCTCGTCATTTTCACCTTTTTCTCCTCCTTTGAGTTGTGTCCTTCTTCATCTGTCGCTATAGCAACATGACCGTTTGATTGACACCCGTTTCCTTACCCCCCCCCCTTTTAGCACGCCGCTCTGGGCTGCAGGCGCTCCAGCTCGGACGCAGCCTATGAGCTGGCGGAGACGGTGAGGGCACAGCGAGAGTGTCGCCTCCGGCCGCACTACAGCGACCCCATGCCGGCCGACGCCTCCAAGCGCAAACAGCTGGAGATGAAGATCGCTGCGGCCGCTCGACTCCACGGCCACCGGAGGGACAGAGACCGAGACAGAGACAGGGACAGTGGTGAGTGCATGACACATGTGTGGCAGCTGTCACTCTGTTATAGTCACAGTGTTTGACCTGTTTCTGGATGCAATACAGTGCAAAATAAAACTTCTTTAGCAGATGTAGTTATTGACTGTCTATCAGTTAACTATTAAGGTCATCCTGCTTCCATCCTGTGGAAAACTACATCCAGTCCACCCTGTGACAAAATGTCTGGACTTTTTGCAATGTCATGTCTTCAATACACCTCCATCACCTTATCGGGGAATCAGCCTACTGTAGATTGCAAATGAACCCTCTACGTAAGCTTTTGAAAAAGATTGCTGCTACTAAAAGCTGCATTTATTCTGATTCTGTTAGTGTCATGCCTGCCTCTGAATATTTTTGGATTTTGCCCTCACACACACACACACACACACACACACACACACACACACACACACACACACACACACACACACACACACACACACACACACCATTAGCAGGGGAACTGTGTCAACAGAAGCTCTTTGACATACAGTACTGTATGTCAATATGACATGTGCTAATAATGACCTCGTTGCCCTTAAAATAAAACGGATATACAGACTAGAAATAGTTCTTTCCTCAGTACAAACACATCATCATCATCATCATCCAGTGGTGTCATATTCATGCTATAATAACCAAGGTGTTTGAATCAAACATTAGTCTTAGCAACTTAGCAAACATATTCACTTTGTCACTGTCTAACTCACACATATGCACGCTATTATCGACCTGTGTGTGTAGAGAGGTTAAGTCCTTGAGTGGAGGGCTAGGGATCTAATTATTGGAGGAAGATGATATCTATAATAGTTTATTCATCTGGACTTGGCCAGTGATTACAAGTCCAGATTAAATGGACGGTCATTAGGGAGGCTTTTAATGCTGTTTAAGGCATTTCAGGCAGAGTGTGTGGGAGAGAAACACAGGGATTTGAGCCTTTGCAGACCATTTACATGCACACAAACCTATAGAACAAAGTACAGGAAAGGGGAAAACCCAAATAAAACACCATAGGGCTCCAGGGTCTACACTTCTTCCGTCACAAACTGAAGACCCACCTGTTTTGCGTGTACCTTGACCAACAAAAAACATAACAAAAATAAGTAACACTTGAGAGTTTAACTTACGCAACAGCACTTACAATGGTCTCGCTTGTTTGAAGTTAATATGTCAGCACATTTTGTTGTCCTTAGTTTGAATCTCTCACTTATTGCACGTCGCTTTGGATAAAAGCATCAGCTAAATGCAATTTAATGTAATATAAAAGACATGAACACAGGACTGAATATACATATATGGCTGTGCAAGTATTGATCTCCCCCTCCCTCTCTCTGCAGCTCCAGCAGCACTGCGCGGTCGCTCTGAGCCCCCAGGTGAGGAGCGTCAGGTGGGTCTGGGGGTGGCCCGGTCGGGGCAGCACCGCTGGAGCACCATCAGCAGCCTGAGCGTGGACAGCGGGGTGGTCGGCCTCAGCGACGAGCGCGAGGAGGAGATGGACAGCGAGCCGCGAAGGTACCGCCGGACCCGCGGGGCCGAGGTGGAGCGGGTCGACAGCGGCATCGGGCCAGGGCTGTCCCGCACCTGGAAGAGACCCTCGGCCTCCCTCAGAGCCTGGGAGGCGCAGAGACCCTGCCCCGACTGTGGGCTGCGGGACGGGGCCTCCAAAGAGCGGGGGGAGCGCATGTGTGACCGCTGCTCCAAGCTGCGCACCGAGAGGAAGGAAGCCATCCTGGAGTTCCTGAACACGGAGCAGAGCTACGGAGAGGACCTGCGCATCATCAAGGAGGAGTTCTACGGGCCGATGCAGAGCGCCGCCCTGCTGACCCCAGAGCAGCTGAGCGTGGTGTTCAGCAACGTGCAGGAGCTCATCGACGTCAACGACCGCTTCACAGAACACCTGCAGGACAGCATCGACCAGGCCTTCGACCAGGTGAGCCCCCCTCTGTCTCTTTGTGACGATGTCTCCATCTCTTTGTGACACACACGATGTCTCCATCTCTTTGTGACACACACGATGTCTCCATCTCTTTGTGACACACACGATGTCATGACCTGGATCAGGCAGTCATAACAAGTTGGGAGACTACACCATGTTCTACAGAATAGACAAACACGGGTATAATAGCTTAATATTTGTGTATAAAGATTGTCAGGATCCTTACATCCCAAAACTCTGCATGATATGTGATAATCAGTCAAACTCAGTGGTGTTTGTGTGTGTGTGTGTGTGTGTGTGTGTGTGTGTGTGTGTGTGTGTGTGTGTGTGTGTGTGTGTGGTGTGTGTGTGTGTGTGTGTGTGTGTGTGTGTGTGTGTGTGATGTGTGTGTGTGTTGTGTGTGTGTGTGTGTGGTGTGTGGTGTGATGTGTGTGGTGTGTGTGGTGTTGTGTGTGTGTGTGTGTGTGTGTGTGGTGTGTGTGTGTGGTGTGTGTGTGTGTGTGTGTGTGTGTGGGATGTAAGGTGCAAACAAAGCTAGAGGTAGCTGCAGGTGAGAGGCAGAGGTTGGAGACACAATAGCAGAGAGACTCAATGATGTCATCACACACACACATACACACACATATACACAGATATAGCCAACAGGGGTTACACAAGGTAGTCTGATTTGTAATGCTCTTAAGCTTTGAGCTCCTACTAGTCTGATATTACATAAATCACCTTCAGGGTCATATTGATAAAGGCATTACAGTGTGTGATTCTAATCCAATACACTTTTAGATTTGGACTTCAATCATTGTGACTTGGACTCCTGTCGATTCCAGTCTTTTATGACTTGTGGTTCAGGGGGAAGTTTGGATGTCTACTGATCAGAGGGTCAGGGGATCGACTTCCAGCCCATACAGTCAACATGTCGAAGATCTTAACCCCAAGTTGCTCTTGAAGCAACTTGGGGTCCATTTTCGATAAAGCATCAGCTAAATTACATTTAATGTAATAAAAAAACAAATGACTTGGAAGTTAAAGACTTTACTCTAAACTTGACTTTAAATGTTAAATATTAGATGTATTTAAAGTGTTGACATGTGTCTGTGTAACGTTACCTGGTGTTATACACAGCGCTGGTTCTGTGAACTGCAAAACTACAAACTGGCTTATCAAATTGCTTTTCCTTAGGTCAAGCATATATTTGTATGACAATAAGAGTAAATGCTTGACCTTTGAAACAAAAACAGATCCAGAACTGATGCATAATGGACCTCGGGGGGGGAGATTGTTTTGTCAAATGCTGTTTCCAACTTGCAGATTCAATTTAAAATCTCTTTAAAGTTCTCCAAAAACATTTCCATTATTGAAATTGAATTTGATAAAGATGATCTAACTCTGTAAAAGCTCCATAACAGCTAATGAATGGATCTTGTGATGAGATTGTTTCATCTACCAGTCATTTTCCTTTCTTATAGTACCATCATTTTTACGTTTTTATCAAAATATGGAAAATCATTTCTAGTAAAAGCTGTGCAACACACAGTTTGCCACTTCTTCCTTTGCACTCGACTTAGTGTATCCTTTTGGGAAAATATATGGGCGAAGATCTTAAACACTATAATAGAAAACAACTATTTTGTTGTAAATGAGTTGCACATTAACCATATTCTCTCCTGTGGTTTCCCTCAGGGAGATGAAGACCTGCTCACGGTGAACATAGGAGAGATCTTCCTGGAGTTCGTCAACATGCTGCCGGCCTTCCAGACGTACTGCCTGCAGCAGCCCACCTCCGTCAACCTGCTGAACGCCCTGGAGAAGGAGAAGGAGCTGCTCAGGTACTGATTCTACTTCCTGTTAGTGTGTGCAGAGATGGCAAAAGTACACACATCCTTTACTCAAGTAGAAGTACAGATACTCGTGTTTAAAAATACTCTGGTAAAAGTACTGACTAAACTTCTTTACTCAAGTAAAAGTAAAGAAGTATGGGCTTTGAAATGTACTTCAGTAAAAAGTACCCATAACTAGCAGCTGTTTTAAAGAGTACCTGACCTCCCTTTATATTAATAGAACAATAATGTCATTGTTAGCTAATGAATGTTTCCATGCTGAACAACGGCAACATGACAACGTTTTCATTGGTCCCTCTTCTTTAGAGAAGACCAGGAAATGATGGATACACGGATCGTGTTCAAATCAATAGGCACGCAATGACTCTAAATAATAATGACCACGCCACCAAACACACATTCAAACTAAAGGAACCAGCCTGTTTGGAAAATGTAAGAAGTAGAAAGTACAGGTATTTGGGTTCAACATGTAAGAAGTAGAAAGTACAGGTATTTGTGTTCAAAATGTAAGAAGTAGAAAGTACAGGTATTTGGGTTCAAAATGTAAGAAGTCAAAGTTAAAAGTCGTCAGAAAATAAGTAATGGAGTAAAGTACTGATACCAGAAAAAAGTACAGTAACGAAGTATTTGTACTCCACTACTTCCCACCTCTGAGTGTGTGTGAGGGAGATCTAACCCTGGCAGCTTTCTCTAGTTTCTGCCACGGCTGTTCTGTATAATTCTTAAAGGACAAGACAGTTGGTTATCACTTATTCAGAGGAAGTTCTATTTTAAGACCAGCGCTGCCATGATTTATATTTTTAGACAGAACCACCGCTCACCCATGAGTCAAGACTTCCTGTGATTCCTGTTAATCAACTTTTTAAGAGTTTTCCCAGGACAAGCACAGAATGTCTCCAGTTTAAAGGCGACGTATCATTAAAATATGGACATAAATTGGTGTATCTGGAGTGCTTAGCATAAAATGATATACACTTTTTTTCTGCTAAAAGGATGTGGTCTAATCTATTTATATATTTAATCTAGCCATCATCAGATATTTGCACAGCTAACAAGACATATATACGTTTGGTAGGGAGTTTGGGAATGTTAGTTGATGGTAGCTTTAACATTTGACACAGTTTACCTAAACCCAAGAGTGTGTTGTTGTGACAAAAGATCTGACGAGTTCATCTCCACTTTCTCTCATTGGAGTTAAAGGGGCCCTATTATGCTAATTTTCCGGTTTCATATTTAGATTTAGCTCCTCTACTGGGACATGTCTCCATGCTTTAATGTTCAAAAAGCTCTGCAGCACCTCTTTTCACCCTCTGTCTGAAACCAGAGCCCAGTCTGCTCTGATTGGTTAGCTGGCCGGCTCTGTTGTGATTAGTCAATCACTTAGAGATGTCCCGCCCCTTAGCCTATCTCGTACAATGTGTTGGAGCACTACCCAATAGAAGCGCGAGTGTTACATAGTGATCTCATTATGTCACAAAGTAAGCAAAGGAGTCCAATATAGGAAACGCCCTCTCGAGTCAACACAGGGATTTTAGACTTTGCAGACCACACACAAAAACCTGAAAGACCTTAAAGCATGTTAACAGATTCTTGTAAAACCCCCCTTTAATTTTCTCTGGTTCTCTCTCCATAGGATCTTCCTGGATGTTTCCCAGAACGACAACACCGCGCTGCGTCGTATGAACCTGCGCTCCTTCCTCATGGCGCCCCTGCAGCGCGTGACCAAATACCCGCTGCTCCTGAGCCGAATCATCAAGGTCACCCCCGAGTGCTACCCCGACTACTCCCGTCTCCGCGAGGCCAAGAGTCGCGTGGAGTCCCACCTGGAGCACATCAACATGAAGACCAAGCAGGAGGGCAACGGCGTCACCTGGTCGCTGCGCTCGTTCCGCCGCGACAGCCGCAAGAACCGCGAGGTCATCAACATCGAGATGCGGGAGGTGTCCATGAAGACGGTGGGCTGGGCGAGAGAAAACACCCGATTCGTGATGGAGGGTCCGCTGCAGCTGTCCCAACCGGCGGACGGGCAGTGGGTGAAGAAGGGCAGCAAGGCGCTCAAGTTTCAAAACGTCCAGAGTCTCCTGATGGTGAGGATACAGCGGGCCGGAGAAGCCCCAGGACAAGGCAACGATTTGGGGGCTCGGGGGGATCAGGGGGAGGGTGGAGGTGACTGTATTCGAGATGGAGTTCTGGTTATAATCAAGGATAAAAGCAGCGGGAAGTTCACAGTGCTGAGAGAGCCGATCCGCCTGGGAAACTGCGTGGTGTCCACAGACCCGGACTGCGAGGACACGTTCGAGGTGCTCGATATTCGGCGGGAATCTTTCGTTTTTCGCGCCTCGGACAAATCCCGCACCCAGCAGTGGTTCCACCAGATTAAGAGATACACTCGAGATTTGGGCACGTGGAGGAAAAGACGCAACGCTTTGCCCAACATCATGATCAACACGAACCAGACGCGCTCCTGAGAATAACTTTGCTACTCTGTAAATAACCCTTCTTACTGCGAACTGACAACGAGAAGCATTTCTGAGTGTTTAAACATGTTAGATTTCAGTTAAAAAAAGAAAATCTCAAACTCACCGAAGAGCACTTTTTACTTACAAAGCTACAAGTGCGCCATACTGTCAAAAAAAAATCATGTGTGAAGATTTCAAAGAAGATTCTTGGACTACCAAAAAAACTTGGGCTGTGCTCGTCAGCCTTGATTGTAAAGACTGTTTGCTCCTGGAGAAACGAGCGCTGTGTTTTCATTGAAAAAAGAAGGTGTGTCTGTTGAAAAGCATGACTGAAAATGGCTGAAAATAAAAATTGTAATGTCGTTTCTTTTTTATACAAGGCGTAAGATGGGGGAAATGTTTGTTTTTGGTAAGGTAGAGATGGAGCTTTGTTCAGTGGTTTCTGTTTGTGTTCACTGCCCTCTCCTGTCTGTGTGCCGCCCTCTAGCGTCCGTCGGCGGTACTGCAACGTTCACTGCCAGAGATGCAGCAGAGCAAACCTCCTGTGTGTTTAACAAGAACTCATAACAGCAATAATCTCTGCCAGTTATACAATGAGTAGCTACTGTACATGCATTTATTATCCCATCGTTTCCTTCGTCAGAGTCTTAAAACTGATCATGTATGTTGGCGTCATTAACTTCATAACCCTGACCTGATAATCTTTTTTTTAAAAGCAGTTTATGGGCAGTCTAGTCAATCTCCTTTAACAGTTTCCTGTTAACATCATGTCACAAAGTCCAACACTGCAGTTTCTTCACTGTGTGTCGAGCGCAGAGATTTTCAACCTTGCTTTCATGCACTAACCAAGACATTGGACAGATATATTGATATTTGTTTGGTGTATTTGTACGGCTTGCAAAAATAATTTATTTGCCTTTTATACTAATCCGATAAATCGGTCAAAATATTGAAAATGTAAAGGCTGAAAAATGCCCAGACCCTGGGAACAGTCTGGTAATTTCCTGTTTTGTTTATTAAAAACTACAAAATATTAATTATAATCAAGAACGTGAAGGGAAGAGCCACATTTTACATTAATTATTTAAACAGTCATCAAAGTTAATAATTTTGTGTCAATTAACAAACCTAGCAGTGCTTTATGTATTTATTACCTTAACGGTGGGGTATATAATTTATTTCAGAAACACTTTTTGTTATATTCCAATGAATATATTAAATGCTTTGACAATAAATACATTAAAAAATGTCATCTGTGGAAGCCGTGGCGCTGTAAAAAGCACGACCAATCATCTGAGCCGGCCCGGATAAAATAACTGGATGGCCTACCTGCCTGTCAGCCTTCCATCTGTGCACAAACGTATCTCGTGCCCTCATTGGTCATGTGCGCGTTCGTATGTGTTGGAGGAGGGGCTCTGTAAGGAAGTCTGAAGGAAGTGGCAGATTTTTTCCGGTTGTGTATTTTCAAATTCTAGCGCACTCGAGCTGGTTTCTCCAAAATGACCTACCCCACCTTTAAGTACATTTCGTTCAAATGAAATAGATAAGGTTTGAAATATGTCACACAATGACTCTATTCCCATTAAGCAAATTGGCACAGCAATAAATCCCCCCACCATTTTAAGGTTGAAAAACTCTGCTTACTTGACTTTAAAAATACATCTCAACCATCTGGTTCCAGCACGGTTTTAACGGTGTGATGTTGTGACCTAGCGATGAGCTGTTGTGCCTTGGTACTTATTACTGTTATTCTAAAAACGTACTGAATATTTGCAGCCTGTCACAGTAGCATTTACCTCCGACATGCGGACCACACTACCTGTCGGCACTTCACTTTACAGGCAATATAATTACTCCTCTGACCCTGGCTGCTTTTCCTCTCTTATTTTACTGTTTTTTATTTATTTATGAAGGCTTTATTTTTGTTTAATGCACTTTATTATAAGTCAGTACTTACGCAGTCTTGTTTATTCTCAATTCTTTATACAAGAAGGGATTTATTAGCTGTTTTCAGCCGGTGGAGGCAACAGTCTGAAACCAAAACCACTTCTTAAGACTGAAACTGTTTTATGTTATTGATGAAGTAGCACGACAAGAGGTAGCGAATCACTGTGTTTCGGAGGGCAGGGAGCTCAGATTAAAAACAAAAACCAAGCCTGCATTCGGTTTCTTTTGTTTTCCTCATTTAAAAAGACCTGATGTATTATTTCCCCAATGTAATATATTGTGAAATATATTAAAAGATTTTAAACACGACATGATGTGTTCATTTTATGACAAGTAGAAATATATTTACAGTCATTTTTAAGCGACAGGAATACAGACAGCACAAGTCAAATGCACTCCAGGAAACAAAAAGGAAGATGGAAAGAAAGTGGATTATTTTTCTAGAAAACACAACCTAGCTCGACTACAGCACAGAAGCATAAAAGAAGCATTGGATGCTAACAGCAAACCTTTAAGACATTCCTCAAAGTGGAAAATGAAAGGAAAGCATCACATGCAGTACATTCTGACTATTGTGTTTGCAAAATGATTTCCAAAAAGTCTCAAACATATTTATTGGCACTGTTCTGCAAGAGAAAATGACAAGAAAAAAGGAATGTCCCTAGCTTTATCACGTGGAGTGCGTCTTTGTGTTTTCTTTGGCTCTTGCACTCCTGGAGCCTCAGTTATATAAAAAAAAGGTATATGCAGATTTATCTTACCGATCAAAATGCAAACCAAGGCTACTTTATGAAAATATAGTCTGAATGCTTGTTTCCGATTGAATCGTTTGATTGTTGTGTCAAATATTTCCTTCATTTATAAGGCTCCTAAGTCTCAGTTTGGATTCATCCATTTTTCAACCATAACTCAGAAGAAATACCACCAGGCGTCAACTCAACGTTAACACTTTTTTGTTTTGACAAATAAACAAACCTGAGCGCCCGTCGCCTTGAAATCAAACATCAATTTACTAACAATAAACGGTTGCAATCCAACTCAGTGAAACGGTAACAGATGAAGCCGAGAACACAGATTTAAAAACAACAAACTGAACCTGCGATCTTGAACGAGGCCTCTGCCATCCATCTAAAGCACCTTTCATGCACACACACACCAACACACACACACAGCCAGTCCTCAGCTGCCGGAGCCTCAGGTTAGAGATCCCTGGGTCTTGCCTTGCAGACGAGGTGAGGCTCAGCTTCTCTACTTGTCTCCTCCGGTGGTCTCGGCCTCCTTGGTGAGCCCCCGGATGGACAGGTCGTACACCACCTCCTCGATCTTCTTCACGTCGTACTTCAGGCCGTCGTAGCGTTTCCGCAGCGGGTCGTTCTTCAGGTTCAGAAGACGGAAGCCCGAGTCCAGCTCGTTGATGAAGTTGGAGATGCGGAGCGGCCGGGTGTAGTCTCCGGACGTGACGCTGTTTACCGCCAACCGTGACTGGAGGAGAAATATAAAATATAATCACATATTAAACCCAGAGGGACTCAACGTACATGCAATGATCTGTTTCTTATTGAGAAATCATTTTTAAATGAAGTACATAAAAGCTTTTAAGGCTTAAACGCAATGGAAACCACAACTCGAAGTATCAATCATCATTGCCCTCAATTGGAATTTGTCAACACCCAATTTGCACATTTTATGAAGTGCATTTAACCCCCTGAAAGACTAAATCTGCCATGTTCTATCATAGCCAGACATTATCATCAGATGTTCTACTTTCTTCCAACAGTCCTTGAGCAGATGGGTCCTGCACAATTCGAACAGTAACCCTAAACTGAAGCTTCAAAATTGGATATTTAATCTAAATCAATTTATAGTACATCTCATTTAAAGTTCTGCCCAAAATTAGATGTTTTTATTAACCAGATCCTTTGAAAATAATGTTGAACTCCGCAATATGGTAAAGCCAGGGATATATGGGTATATACTGTATGCATGTATGAAACCTTTTCTACAGAGAGCAGAAAGGAGTGGACAAGAGAGGTAACGTTTTGAATAGCCCCTTCACTGTGTGTCGAGCGCAGAGATTTCCAACCTTGCTTTCATGCACTAACCAAGACATTGAACAGATATATTGATATTTGTTTGATGTATTTGTACGGCTTGCAAAAATAATTTATTTGCCTTTTATACTAATCGGATAAATTGGTCAAAATATTGAAAATATAAAGGCTGAAAAGACCCTGAGAACAGTCTGGTAATTTCCTGTTTTGTTTATTAAAAACTACAAAATATTCATTATAATCAAGAACGTGAAGGGAAGAGGCACATTTTACATTAATTATTTAAACAGTTAGTCATCAAAGTTATTGATTTTGTGTCAATTAGCAAACCTAGCAGTGCTTTGTGTATTTATTACTTTAAGTACATTTAGTTCAAATTAAATAGATAAGGTTTGAAATATGTCACACTGACTCTATTCCCATTAAGCAAATTGGCACAGCAATAAATCCCCCCACCATTTTAAGGTTGAAAAACTCTGCTTACTTGACTTTAAAAATATATCTCAACCATCTGGTTCCAGCACGGTTTTAACTGTGTTACAATATTTCCTTTTCAAATGATAGGCATTTCGGAGGATGTAGTTTGTGGTGCTTTTGAATCATACACCCTACTGATCCGTTATTCAGTCAATCCTCATTGATATAAACTGGGTGGAGAAAAATAAATGACAAATGCCTCTAAATACAGCAACATGTACAACAAACTTCAACATAAGAAAATGTTCCTCAAGTTGATTCAAAACCTAAACACTGGCAACAAAAAACTGAACATTTGAACCTTCTTCATGATGTCAGGGTTTCCCACACATAGACTTTATTATATTAACGTCCGCTAAAGTATATTTCGCGTTCCCGTTCTCTGGATGTGTTACAGGACTGTTGTATCACGCCATCATCAACCTAATAAACTGGTACGGAATGGAAACCACAAATCTAAGTATCAATCATTGTTGACCTTAACTGGAATTTGTCACACCCGACTTGCAGATTTGATGAAGTATATTTAACAACAGTCCTTGAACAGATGAGTCCTGCACAATTCTGTCATGAACAGTAACCTAACCGAAGCTTCAAATTAGCACATTTAATCTAAATCTATTTAAAGTGCATCCCATTTCAAATTCTGCCAAAAATAAGGTGTTAACCAGATCCTGTGAAACACTTTAAATCAACGGCTGCACGATTCTGTCATGAAAAGTAGCCAAATCAAAGCTAAATTGGGACGAACATCTCATCTAAAATCCTGCCAAAAATAAGGTAATTTCATTAACCAGATCCTGTAAAAAAAGTTTAATGATGCACTCAAGAGCAACTCTGAAGCCATGAATGTGTGATACATACACAGAGCAGAATGGAGAGGACAAGAAATCGTGCAAAAATGTAATGTTTTTTATGTGTATAGCATGTGGAACCCCTATTTTCTTCGAATACTGATTAGGGCTGTTGTATCAGGCTGTGTTAGTTTAAGCCAACTGTACCTAATAAACTGGTATGAACATTAGAGATCAACATCACACTCACCAGTTCACTGGCCATGATCAGCACTCCTGCCAGGTAGTCCTCCACGTCCAGGTGGAAGCCTTTCTCTCGCACCACCTCAACTGTGGAGAGCAAAGGGAAGAGAGAGAGTGAAGCAGCATTCCTCAGTAACACCTACACACTAATGGCGCATTTCCACTACAGCGCGGGGCTCGCTTTAAGCGTGCCGAGCCGTGCGGGGCCCGTTTTTGGTTGCGTTTCCACTTGGCGTAGTACCGGCTAGCGGGTACTTTTTCACAGTTTTTCTGGCCCCATAAAATCGAGGTTCTTTCCGGGCCAACAACCAGGCTGAGTCGGGCTGAGTATGCTAAACTAGAGGGAGAATCGCTGGCAAGGGGGCTACAACTACAACAAGATGAACATATTTGACCGTGATTTAATTGTAATACACGTTTCAAAATGATGCCGAAGTAACAACATACTGATACCGGTTAGTAAAAACCATGAATTAATGCTTTGTCAAGTCTGCAGACAGACGGCAGGCGAAAAACCTTTTAAAATGCGTGTTGTCTGAATGGAGATCGGCTAAGCTAACGCAGTATATGCTCCGACCGTCCACACTCACAACAACGGCCTATACAGACATAAATAAACCAGCGACTGTATTCACCATGACACAGGCAGTCTGTGGTTTGTACTTGTTTAACTTTTGTCTAGTTTCTGAACAGATATGAGGAGCTGTGAGCTCTGAGTGCTAACAGCTAACGGCTGTGTTGTTTTTCTGGGGTTCTCATTGAAGATGACGTCACGGCTCCGCCTACACTGCGTTACTATAGATACTACCCCAGTTCCTAAACTGTAATGGAAATGCGCCATAAAGTGAGCCAGTCCTAACAAGGCCTAACGAGGCCTAGCCATACCGAGCGAGGCCGTGTAGTGGAAATGCGCCATAACACACTGAAATATACTTACTGCCGAGGATCTTAGCCACTTCCTCCCGGATCACAAGAGCCTCCGTCTCCAGGTAGACGACGAAGGTCGCCAGGAAGACCAAACGCTGCAGGACAAACCGCCAGTGCTCATGGAACCTGAAGTGGGATCAAACAGGTCAGAAAACAAGAGTTATGGTTTTTTTTATATCACCTTATTTTGCCTCGATATTCAATTCAGCATCAATTCTACTTTGCAGGGGTTTCTGGGTAAATGCATTAGACAAATTGTAAATGGCGACACAATTAAAGACATATAAAACCCTTAGTAGAGTCTACTGATCAACATATTAGACTTTTCTAAATTGGATCTCACAAAAATAGTTTTTTCGGTTACAGGAGAATAATGTTTAGCTTTTAAGCTTGTTGCTGACTGATTAAGATGTGAATTCCAGTGGATACCAAGGAAGGAATTCTTAAAATGATAAATGCTTCAGATCCATAGGAATTAGTGTTTTGTTTGCTGAACTCACAAAAACATGTTCGGTGCATTTCTGCAGATTACCTGTATTTTAACTATACTTACTTTTTGAATGATAGCCTTTCCAATTACTAATAAAAAAGTGTGAATTGAATGATTGTGAGAGAATCAAACTGCAAATACTGTGCCGAGTGGATCCTACCTGTAGTACTGCTCCATAGGAAATTTGGTTTTGAGGTCGGCAATTGTGGTCCGGACCGTGCAGAACAACTCCCGGGCCCTCGCACATTTACTGGGAACTAACGGGAGGAAGGAAATCAACATTAACAAGTTGTTGGGAAAATCCTGAATGTACTCTTCCAATATGAAAGTAACATGATAACAAAGGTATCCCAACTGTAGCTGTGTACATGACAGGATGTATGACTACCTAGAAGAGCATCAGGACTGTTTTAGGCATATGATAGCTATGTGATTAACATGATGATTCAGCCTCTATGGAGATAGACATATGACAAGCATGCTCATTTCTGACGTGGAGCTAATCTGAACTAAACATTGAATACTGCTTTATATTCCTCCATCTTGTGACTGTGTGACTCCCTCTCTTGTATATCAGCATGTGAAGGACACTGTTCAGGCACTAGATGATGCTCTGTATGTGATGACTACTTCCATTCTGGAGAGGATCAGAAATACATGGATCCTGAGATTGAAGCTCAAGCCGGTGACGAGTGATATTTTTCTAACACAAGTCAACAAGACGCATCGAGTCCCAGTGAAAACAGTGCATACAGTGTGAAAAAAGGATGCTTACTTTCTTTGAATCCAGATGGTTGGTGCACGCTTTGGAGAACCGTAAGTATTTCTCTGGCAGTCTGCTCCAGCATCTGGACCACCTTACGGATATCCTGCAGCAAAGTTCAACCAAATCTTAAATTCAATACAACGTGTTTCCTAATAACAGAAATACAAATGGATGTGCCTTAAAGTGTCAAATAAATAATATTTATGAAGTCTTTCACTTTTGCACTGCATTTAGTTATCAGAATCAGAGTCGGTTTAATTACAAAGAAGGTTTACACATACGAGGAATTTGCTTTGGTTTAAATACAAAGACACAGAAAGAAGAATACGTTTTATTTTAAAGTAGCAAAAAACTGTTATGCACTAAAAACACAAAGACACATTATGTCTATGTGCACATCTGCTTAGCAATAACTCAGTATACTATATTAAGGTCAGATCAATTAAAGTCAGTAGGGGCTTGGACTGTGAGCCATAGGGTCGCCGGTTCAAGTCCCGACCAGACCTAAATATGGAGTGTGGACTGCTACTTGGAGATGTCCCAGTTCACCTCCTGCCCTGCCGCCCTTGAGCAAGGCACCAGACTAATAAACAGATAAGCATTGTGTATTTTGATAAAAAATTGATAAGTACTTGAGTAAATCTAGTTAGTTACTTAACACCTCTGCTCAAATGAAATAAATAGAAACGAGTTTGTGATAATATGATTTATATACATATCTAATTGTACTCCTATGAACCTGGATTTGTATTCATTGTGTTGACAGGATTCCGGTTAGCCGATAGCTAGCTGCGGAATATATATTAATATATTCATTAATATTGTTACCTCTCTGATGTCCTGGTCGGCGCTCAGGAAGCCCTGGATGTGACTGAACATCTCGGTGACAGACATTTCTGATTTTAGTCAAATGTTAATTAAGATACTGAAGATGAAACGTGTGCAGCAGCTAAGCTAAGAAGCTAACATATAAACATCAACGTGCTGGAAGCTGGAAGAGGAACCGCCTGCTTTGTGTGGCGCGCGGAGATGATGTCATCATTTCCAACGTCACGCTTAATTATATTTTTTTCATCATCAATTGGTGTAGTTTATTACTTATTTAAGCATTATGTGTATTTTATTGTTGTGTTTCATGTGTTTGTTGTAAAGCACTGGTTGTAATATGTGCTATAAAAAATAACCTTTGGTATAATTATGATTATTATAAGATCATACTATCAAAATAATGTACAAAGGTAGATAGATAGATAGATAGACAGACAGACAGACAGACAGACAGACAGACAGACAGACAGACAGACAGACAGACAGACAGACAGGCAGATAGATAGATAGATAGATAGATAGATAGATAGATAGATAGATAGATAGATAGATAGATAGATAGATAGATAGATGGATAGATAGATGGATGGATGGATGGATGGATGGATGGATGGATGGATGGATGGATGGATGGATGGATAGATGATAGATAGATAGATAGATAGATAGATAGATAGATAGATAGATAGATAGATAGATAGATAGATGGATGGATGGATGGATGGATGGATGGATGGATGGATAGATAGATAGATAGATAGATAGATAGATAGATAGATAGATAGATAGATAGATAGATGGATGTTCTCATTTACAATGCAGGTATGTGTTGACTTGATGAACAGAAACAGCATGTGATGACTCTTCTTGTTCTGTCTGGTTTTAACAGAGATTCTGCATTACCTCCTCCCTCCTGCTGATGGAGCCAGAGCAGCTCTCTTCCTCATGTTGCCTTCAGGTGCTGCTGGAAAAACTACAGCTGTTCTCTTTAGATTCAGATTCAAAGGTTTCATTGTCATATGCACAGAGCTACAGTGTAGAAATGGCAATGAAATTCTTCTGACCTGAGCTCCTCCAACAATGCAACATATATAATAAAATACAAAATAAAAAGTAGTGCAAAAAGTCTATATACATGTCTATTGAATATGGGATATGTACATACATCCATATACATCCTTGATAATAATTGACAACACAAATATTATCACACTTTATGCTTTTTAGCAGATTGTTTTATTTGTTTGTTCACTAATCACCATTTATTTACAACTTAGGGAAACAAGTTTTATTCTTACTGGACTCTAGGCTCATCTAAACGTCTCACAAAGAGATGAATTTCTGACGTAAAAATACATTTAAATAAGTACATTTATACTAACATTAATTATAAATACTCAAAGCATGTGACTTATTGTGACTATAGTGGGATAGTAGTTAATTAACTTTATTGAATAATATATCATCTTGATCCTTATTCGGCATCTTTTCATACATTTAATAAGAAAAGACGATCTTGGTTTTTGAATACCACTCTTAAAAATGTTTTGATTTTAAAACCTTTGCCTTTTCAAACAATTATTATTATTGTTTTCCTGTGTATTTTTTATACTTTTTTATTTGTTATCATGGGTTATTATTGTTTCAAGACCTTACCCTTGCCTTGTTTGGTCCTTTATTGTTTTATTGACACGATTTGATTTAATATATATATAATATTCTCTTTTTATGGCCACTTTGAAGACTAGTGACCACTTTGTGTTGAATCCATTATTGTCTAATTTCCTACGGTCCCTGAAGGCATCACCGTAGAGCGCATTTGACGCAGAGAGAGCAGTCAGCCTCCTGTTGCTCAGACTAGTTCACCAGACTGATCTCTGCAAGACAGGAGCTACAAACCGGAACATTCTGACTTTTTCTCTCTCATTGAAGTCTCTTATCCAAACCATAGTGTGTTTTTAAATGCCACTTTTTTATTCCTCACTTCGGGACTTTTAAACAATGCTGCTAAATGTTTGAGATGGAGAAAACCTCAGCAGAAGATGACTGCGTGGATTCAGGAGCCGAGACTGCAGGGTGAGAGAAGCAGAAAACATGTGATTTAATGTTATATTCATCATTCAGATGTTCTTATATTTATTGGAGTACAGGTAAACATTGTTGACATGGTAATACAACTTTTACTATGTGGAAAACCAGACAAAAATTATCATTCCAAGTATTTTTAGTTGTAAAAAATGTCTGAAAGCATGTTTTTATTTAGACAGTGTCTTCATGTTATCAGCCGATCTAAAGCAAACATGTGTTAACAATGAGAAATTCAATTATTAAGAGCTTCTCCTTGTCAAATAAGCGATACAACTTTAAATTGGCACTTTTTTAAATGGAGTTTGGTGCTACCCAACTCATAATAAAGTTATGTGTGTATTTAATATACAGTAACACGTTCATTGTGCATTTGTATCACAGTAAGGCAACAGCAAGACTTGTTGATTGTTATGATTTGTATCCTTATGAGTCTATAATTATTACTTTAAATGCTGATTATCCTGGATTGCACTCTTGAGCTGTGCCAATACTTTATATTGGCACAGCTCTCATACTATATGAGGGCATATAGAGGAGGTTTGATCCTAACTCTTTTGTGGAAAGTTAAGTCTTAATCAGCAAGTCAGTTGTTGTTAAAGTACAGGCTGAGATGGCGCTTAATGGAAGAATGTTTTGACAACGGAGAGTTGATTTATTGTCCTCTTTGTTTACAGCTTTTAGACAAAGATGTGCTTCTCATGCGGTATGTCAAATATGATTGATGTAGTGTTGTGGTGTGTGTGTGTGTGTGTGTGTGTGTGTGCGTGTGTGTGTGTGCGCGTGTGTGTGTGTGTGTGTGTGTGTGTGTGTGTGTGTGTGTGTGTGTGTGTGTGTGTGTGTGTGTGTGTGTGTGTGTGTGTGTGTGTGTGTGTGTGTGTGTGTGTGTGTGTGTGTGTGTGTGTGAAACCCTAGATGACCTTTAACCCCTTTTAAAGACATCATCAAAACAACTGACTTACATTTATATTAACAAGAGTGTATAATATTCAAGTATGAGTTTTCTAAAGTCACTAAATGTATTGCAAAAAATGCCCAGATCAGATGTATAGACGTTTGTTTATAGGTACATGTTGGCTAGTTCTGATACAGTGCACATATAACATTAAGTAAAGTGTGTTGCTTGGATGAATGTAAATGCAAAATAAAGTCAAGCAGCAAGGCAGACATGTATATATGAGGTTTAAGCATATAGAAAATAAACCTTTTGAATTGTAATACAGCAACTTCATTAAAGTACATGACAGAGACATTATACAACAGCAGAGAGTGGACAAAGACAACAGAATACCAGGCCTAATGTTCTCCTTACTCTTCTATTGAAAGTTATTAAGGTGGGAAACGTAGTCCATCAGAACATCAATGAGTCACCTGCAATTACATTAGCTGTGAACTGGAACCAACAGCATCATGTGTGAGAGAGAGAGACAGTGTTTCATGGGAACTCAGCAGCAGAGACCTCGGTGTAGAGCGCTGATGTGAGAGGAAAAAGCATGGCTGATAACCCGAGAGCCAACGCCTCCATCAGGTCACTTCCTCCCCCACTGGCTCCACTTCCTGTTCACCTCCATGTTCACTGTCTTTGCCATCAGCTCTTCCAACAATCACAATTAGACTCTATAGGAGGCCTTTTATATACTTTAAAGAGGCCCTATTATGCTTTTTTGTGTTTTCCCTTTCCCAAAGTTCCCTCCTCAAACGCCTCCATTGGACTCCTTTCTACTTCCTGAACATAGTAACATAATAATGTAACTCTTGCACTTCTATTGGCTAGCGCTCCAACACATTGTACATGATAGGCTAAGGGGCGGGACATCTTTAAGCGGCTGACCAATCACAACAGAGTTATTTTTTGAAGTTTCATGGAAATTCGGCCAGTAGTTTTTCCATAATCCAGACAAACGAACAGACGGGTAAACAAAAACAAAATACTGGCGGAGGTAATTAAGATTAAAGCCCGCCTCATACATAAAATGGCAACTGTTATCATGTTCAACATTACATATAACCTATATAATATACATTAAAGTTGTGTTTTCAGCTTGTTCTGCTGCCCCGAGTAGCAAAAAAGTCAGTCAGTTCTCCGTTTTGGCAATTCTCTGAACGATATGTACTGTCTTGATGGAAGTAGCGTGACAATCTCGTAGTCTAACGTCCGACTGGTCAAATAATTGGGCGTTCTTTCAACACAGGAAACTGTGGGTTGCGTTCCCTTCTCCCACCATGCCTCAGCATTAGTTTCTTTAAACTCTGACAAATGATTTTTCCAGAACATATCAAGAACTTAACCGTCTAACGCTCATACGAGTCTCTGTTTGGAAAAGTGAGACGTTTGAGGGTTTATTGTCTTTCTATACTCGTCTCCCTTCCTTAATCAAATAAGAGACCTGAATCTGTTCAAACAAGCCTGTAGACGGGACGGCCCATCAGGTCACTCAGCAGTCAGACCCCGAGCATGACGGCGCTGCTGCCTGTCTTCGCTCCACGCTGAGTTTATTGTCCTTGGACGCAGATGAATAAAAGGCAGACGGGGAAACGCCAGAGATGCTAACTGTGGGAGGGAGTCCTGCCAAATACACACACCCAAGGGAGCCATTAAAACACTGCACACACTACTACCTCCAACTCTCCTCCACAGACTCATAAACTCTAAAAAATAAAGTCTTTTTTTCCACATTGTCATTTGTCTCTGTGCACTCAGGGACACGTCTATAATGTTCACTCCGTGTCCTTCTTGCAGGATCCTTCCACTTATTTATAATCTGCTCTTCTCTACTTTCGCTTCCGATGCTAACATTTTCCCATCTGCAGCACTCCATCTTCAAACCTCTCTCTGCTCACTTCTTCTTCTTCTCATACGACCATCCTTTCCTTTCTCTGCACCACCACTAATGCCCCTGTTAGTGAGATTGATAACCTCCTGCTGCAGGAAACAGACTCGCTCCTCTGTTTCCTGCTCTGTGTGTGTGTGTGTGTGTGTGTGTGTGTGTGTGTGTGTGTGTGTGTGTGTGTGTGTGTGTGTGGTGTGTGTGTGTGTGTGTGTGTGTGTGTGTGTGTGTGCTGTGTGTGTGTGTGTGTGATGTGTGTGTGTGTGTGTGTTGTGTGTGTGTGTGTGTGTGTGTGTGTGTGTGTGTGTGTGTGTGTGTGTGTGTGTGTGTGTGTGTGTGTGTGTGTGTGTGTGTGTGTGTGTGTGTGTGTGTGTGTGTGTGTGTGTGTGTGTGTGTGTGTGTGTGTGTGTGTGTGTGTGTGTGTGTGTGTGTGTGTGTGTGTGTGTGTGTGTGTGTGTGTGTGTGTGTGTGTGTGAATAGTTTTCACTGGTTGTCAGCTGACTCCCGTGGGACTAATACTCTCAGGTTGTGTGTACATGTGAGTTTCACGGACGTTTCTAGGTATTTTAATGTGTAGGATGCAGCAGTCTCGTTGTAAATGGACGTGCATTCCTCTTGTACATCACAGATATTTGTGTAATTACACAAAAAGGCCAGAATTTGTTCCCTAATCCTCAGAGATCAGATTAGAGGGAAATCTAATTCTGCTTCCCTCTCAGTTCAAAGATGGGAGGTTTAGATTACACACCGCTCGTCCCTGAAGGAGAATTCCTGTTTGTGTCCAGAGTGGTGGAACAAGAAGGATATTTTTACTTTATAGATCTTAAAGTATGGAGTCAGGACATGGTTTATGAGCTTAGTTTAACATCAGGAGCAGTCATGGAACAAATGTGATGGTTAGCCTACTGTATGTGCTGTAGCTTTTTATGGACAAACAAAAGAATATCAGTCTGTCCAGAATTTCAAAAAAGTATTATTACATCGAAATAAAACTACAAGGTGTCAGCCAAGATGATGTTTTCATGATTATGGAAAAACTCCTAGCTTGATTTCCATTAAACTTGTTAAAAGGATGTAGTGTGGACCAAAGAAGAACCCAAACCATTTTAGAGCAAGTCCGAAACACGTAGCAGATATTAAACATTTTTCCACGTTGGTTAACATTGCAAAATAGGGCATTTGTGCTGCATTCATGTGTTGTAATAATTGGTAAAAAAGTTTCGCAATGGGAAAATTATTGTACATGCCGCCTTAAGTCGAATATATATCCATATTATCAATATTGTTATATACGAAAAGATATCTTCCTAGATTTTAAATGTGGTAATATGGATCAAGTGTTTTTTCTCTTGGTCTTAAAGGTTAAATTACATAAAAGTTATATAATTGTCCTAATTTGCTAGACTAATAGCTTTTCTATTATTATTATTACTACCCACTTAGCTGTTTTATCCACATTACTAATGATTATTTATCAAAAATCTCTTTATTTTGTGAAAGCAACAATAGTCCCCCTTACAATATAACGCAATTGAATATATATATATATGGTCACTAATATTGTCACTTAATTGTTCTCCATACCTCTCATCCTTAAATGTATTATTGGATTATTAATACTAATGCATCCACTTTTAAGTAGCATTTAATGATGGTGAAATCAATTATACCTCCTATATTGGGCAGTTTACTCCTTAACGCTTCACTTCAAGTTTAAAGTAGCATAAAATAGAAATGCTCAAGAAGTATAGAAGTACCTCAGCATCTAACTTGATGACAGAAGTAGAAACAGTACTGGAGTAGATGTCCCTGTGTTTTATCCCCACAGATAGAAACCACTGTGTGCATGTTTGGTGACCTCTCCTTCTGTTTAGCCAGCTGTCAGCACTGTATTTGAAATAGGAGTGTGTCGTTCTGTAAATCATGTGTACTTCATACTGTAATATAAACTCCTGTCTCCTCTCTGCTTCTTGTCCCGTCTGTCTTTTCTTTCTGCTTCCTGTCTTCCTCTGCAGGTCTGATTACAGTCCCTTGTCCTCAACCAGCAGTAAGTAAACTAACAGCGACACAAAACATTTCTAACACACACACACACACACACACACACACACACACACACACACACACACACACACACACTCACACTCACACTCACACTCACACTCACACTCACACTCACACTCACACTCACACACACACAGCTCAGGCCCAGGACTTCATCTGCCTAATACACACTGACACAATAAATCCACTCACTGGGAGGATTGTGTTTTGGGAGTTTATTCGTCCGTATGGCCGGCAGCCAGTTTGAGAGAGGATTCTTTTTAAGGTAATAACAAGTGAATATTACTTTCCTCCTACTTCTACCTTAATTTAACATTTACTGCGATGCGACAGGCTATCAATCCAGAGACTAATTTCTGCCTTGATGGGGCAATACATTTAAACAATTAAGGTTAAAAAGCTGAATGCACTGGTTCATTTTAAGAGTTGGAGTTTTCTTTTGACTCCTCTGATAGGGACCATAATATGGGTTTTTTAAACATATTATAGTCAATCTAGGGAATTTGGGGGAAACTCAACACATTTTTTAAACATTGAAGCCGTAACAACACAATTTGTGACTTAAAAAACAAATCTGGGATAAAATTGCTGTTTGCATTGTTAAATAGAGCCGAGACTGACACTCAGGAAGTAACCACCACTCTGAGCAAACATACTAAAATAAACATTTGGAGTTTTTTTGGGATATGTTTGGCGTTTACCTCTGTTTATATGTCATATATTTTTGAATATGTCATATATTTTTGAATATATATATTTGTATATATAATATCTACATGTATATTTTCTATTTTATTTTATTTCTATTCTTGTTTATTTGTAGTTTTGTTTTATTGTAAAATGCCTTGTCTTTTATGCTGCTGCAACAAAAACAATTTCCCAAATTGGGATCAATAAAGTACCATCTTATCTCTTATCTTATCTTAATTATCCGCTGATGATAGTGTGTATGAGGATTTCATTTAAATGAATGAAAATGTAGCTGGAAAGCAACTGCGCTGAGATTTCTTGGAAACAAGTTATGAGTGACTGATCAGCTACTAAATATGATTTGTCTGTCATTGTGCCAATGGCATTTGAACTATGAGGCTCATATCTCTTGGTACTATATATACAGTACAGTGTGTGTGTGTAGTTCTGTGTGAATGTGTGTGTGTGTGTAGTTCTGTGTGAATGTGTGTGTATGATTGTGAGTTTGATGCGGTCATGGCCTCTCTCCAGTCCGGTTGCCAGGTCTCCGGACCGCTCACAAAGGGAGGATTAAATCCAATATTAGCTCATCAATCTGGTCCACAGGAAGCTGCGTTATCACCCGACGCTCAGGAAGTCCACACACACACACACACACACCAACACACACACATAGACCGACACACGCACATCCAACATATTTTCCATTTTTCTTTCCTGTATCAGATGATCTTCTGCCTTATTGTCTCTGTCACACTGGAGGTCAGGAGCAGACGCACAGGCCCATTGTCAGAAACCCTTTAAATACAGTGTGTGGAAAAATGTGACCACAATGACAAAGACACTGGACAGGAGCTACTGTCATTGGAGAATCTGATTTGATTTACAGGGTTCACTCGGATCCTTAAAAAGTCCTTCAGGCATTCGATTCATTAATCTAACACAAGGCCTACATTGGTATTAAAATGCCTTAAATTAATACGTCTAAAGTCTTACAAAAACTAAGACAAGGAGATTTGGATTTTCTGGCTCCACGTGCAAAAGCACTATGCTGTACTAAGAACAGCATAGTAGAACCTGTGTCACCCACATTTTACGACGTTTACGTGCAGGATGCGATTGTAATGAATTTCATTCAAACTTGCATTAAACTGTAGGAACCACGGATGTAGGAATTCATCCTGCTTGTTGTCACTCAGATTTTGAGACTGTACTCTGTTGTCCATACTGTAGGTAGGATAGTCTAAAAAAGGACCAAATATGAAATTGCTGAGATGCTGATGCCATATGTCAACTCTCTATTGTTCCTAAAGGAATCAGATTACTTTATGGTAGATAAGATGTGCAGACGAATGTAAATGTGTCTTTGGAATTGGCATAAGACCACAACCATTATACACAACAATAGATGACAATTATGCAACTTAAAAACACAAGGTGACCAAATATCAGTAATATAAGTGATGCGTACATTATTCTTCCCTTATCACAACAGTGCATGATTAATATATCTTGCACAATTAAGGATGGAAGGATTCTCTCAATGTTGACTACAGTGATGATCCCTGAAATTATAAAAAATCACAAGAAGTCTCCAGGTAGTGCCACGTTTTTGTTCAATATTTGTTGTCCGACTCAGTATTAGTTGATATAAACACACACCCTACAGACAGAAAGTGAGAGTAGCAGCCTGAGTTAATTTGTCAAACTCACACCAATGATGACGACAGAGAGGACGAGACAGATGGACACACACAGATTTCCCAAAGAGGTGAAAGGACAACGTAGAGAAGTCATCTGTCTCAGCGCTGTGTGTGTGTGTGTGTGTGTGTGTGTGTGTGTGTGTGTGTGTGTGTGTGTGTGTGTGTGTGTGTGTGTGTGTGTGTGTGTGTGTGTGTGTGTGTGTGTGTGTGTGTGTGTGGTGTGTGTGTGTGTGTGTGTGTGTGTGTGTGTGTGTGTGTGTGTGTGTGTGTGTGTGTGTGTGTGTGTGTGTGTGTGTGTGTGTGTGTGTGTGTGTGTGTGTGTGTGTTGATGAATTCATGCAGCATCAGTCTCCCTCGGCTCCTGCCTCCTCAGAAGTATATTTAGGTTCTGGTAGAGAGCGTTCTGGTGTTTATACAGGTGGTGTTAACCCCTAACCTTTGACCTCAGCTCAGTCCGGCCCTAAGCCCCCCGCAGACAGACCGATATCACATTCAACCACCAACGACTGTCTGACCGAGGTCATATGCTCTAATTTAGCTCCTGTGTATAAACTACAGCGCCTGGAATTCAAAATGCTTGAAATTGAGACTAAATCAATACAAGGCCAGTTGTTTAGGTCAGTGAGTCCACAGAGGGGTGCAGGAATGAGTCTTAAACCTGGAAATGAGTCAGCATTTTAGCAGTTACGAGTTCCCTTGTCTTGAAGTCAAAGTTTTTTTGAATGAGCTTTTAAATAAGATCTGTGGTTAACACAAATGTTTTAACATAAAATACGTCAGGAAATACTACTCATGAATGTGTAATATAATAGATTTTAGGTGTCTTTAAAAATGCGGATGCTAACAAGTGACTAAATTAGACTATTATGGCGCTTTTCCACTGCAGCGCGTTTTTTTTTGCTTGTCCACTAGGGGTAGTTCCGGCTCAGGGCTACTTTTTCACTTTTTTTCTGGCCCTCCATAATCGAGGTTCTTACCGGGCCAACAACCGGGCTGAATATGCTAAACTAGTGACGTAAACACTCTCGACTGCTGATTGGTCAGAGAGAATCGCTGGCAAGGGGGCTACAACTACAACAACATGAACATATTTTACCGTGATTTAATTGTAATACACGTTTCAAAATGATGCCGAAGTAACAACATACTGATACCGGTCTGCAGACAAGACGGCAGGCGAAAAACTTTTTAAAATGCATGTTTTCTGAATGGAGATCAGATCGATCAGTCTAAGCTAACGTTGTATATGCTCTGTCCACACTCACAACAACGGCTTACAGACATAAATAAACCAGCGACTGTATTCGCCATGACACAGGCAGTCTGTGGTTTGTACTTGTTTAACTTGTGTCTAGTTTCTGAACATATATGAGGAGCTGTGAGCTCTGAGTGCTAACAGCTAACGGCTGATGTTTTGGTTTTGTGGTTCGCATTTAAGATGACGTCACGGCAGTTTTACGCCCGCCGAACAGCCAATCGCCCCGCCTACACTGCGTTACTATAGTTACTACCAACATGTCACAGTAGAGACACTAAATACTAATATGAAGCTGACTATTAGCATAATATGTCCTCTTGAAACTAGGAATGTGTTTTGCTTTGAAGAATCTGCAGGGTATGAAGTGTGTCTTTTCACAAAGGATAACTGAGATTTGTATACTTTGCAAGCTTAATTGCAGTAAAGCACATGCAAAGAAACACTCTCACACATGTACGTTTCTCTCAGCGTGCAAACATCTGCTGCTGACTGCCAAGCTTTTGTTCGACGACTATCAATCCTGTCTAGACCTCTGCTGCACAAAGACTCTGTGAATATGCTGATGCGTGTTTGTTTCATTCACTGTTTTGAAATCTTCCTTTTACTCCTGATTTCTTTCTCAGGAAGATATATTCCCACAGTCTTTGTTTTGCTTAACCGTTACCTGAAGTTGGATCCACTGAATCTGTCTCAAGTTTTTCTCTTCTGGAAGCTGGCTGTGGTGTACATTTTCATGCGCCTACATCTGCAAGTAATAAATACATCTACAGTATATTTTTGTAGGTATTCCAAGTGTGACAAATCATGCATGTTTATAGTCTGTTAGTCTATTAGTATTTGTGTCTCTGCTGGGAGTCTTTCTGTTGTAATAGTCTGACCTCTAGTCTAGTATAAAAACCATCTTTTGCACAAAACATTCGTTATTCTGACAGGCTACCCCCTCCTTCTTACATACGTGTACACACACACACACACTCGCACTCGCAGAAACCAATGTGGGGCAGGGTCACAGGTCACTCACGCTGAACAGACACTCATCTGCTGGGACCAATAGAGAGTGAGGTCGTGTGATTAAGTGTTTGGGGTGGAGCTCAGTTGAAGAGTCTTGAATCAAAACCTATTTTCTATTTTCTCCTGAACGCTCTAAAGATGTAGAACACAGCAGCTGCAGACGGCTTGAAAGAGAAATCTCACTTAACATTTCACCATCTGTCAGTGCCTTTGCATGAAAGCCTTGAAGCCACAATTTCAGATTCTTAAAGGTCCCCTATGATACTGTTTTTCATCAATATATTACAGGTCTCAGATATATATAAAACATGTCTCTGAAGT